AAAATTATGAGGGAGAAATGATTTTCAGCTGGTTGTTTGGCTCTTTCTCCTCCCTCAACAACTGAAGTACCCTAAACTCACCATCATACCTGGGGGGCTGTTCAATATTCTGTATATTTCTCTCTGTCTTGAGGATTTCAAAGCACACCAGTGCTTTTCACTGAAGGCCAAACAGAAAAAAAGCTACGCTACACACAGTCTGCATTGATTCACACCAGCGTCATTTACCTCTCTAGTCTGTGAGAACACAAGAATCCACCAAGCTCATTATATCAGCACTATGTTACTGTCTGCTGAACATGGTGTGAGGAGAATAAAAATCCATGTTGGCTAAAGAACAACAGGACATTTATACAGCACAAATCCCCAGGTGTGGGTCATGTGTGCTCCAGGGAGGAAGATAATGAAATCAGGTTTGGAAGAAAAAAACAACGACACAAAAATAAGAAAGATTAGATTTATGTCCTGCTATCATTTTCCTTTGCTGAGGCCTTTGTTCTACACCTCTCACTCACAGTGTGTGTGTGTGTGTGTGTGTGTGTATGTGTGTGTGACATTTTTCCTGTCTGTGTTTCAGAGACATGTTCGCATTTCAATATCGGACACTGCAGGTCTCTACAGTCGCTGTTGCAAGCCTGAAGAGTTCAATTTGCCATATGTGTGCTAGCTGCTCTGCATCTGTGTGTGTGTGTGTGTGTGTGTGTGTGTGTGTGTGTACATGTCGAGGGTGCGGGTCAGGGACTTCATGCCAGATTCTCATTAGCTTGCTCCAGCAGCCCAGCAGTATCTAATGAACTCTGCAGCTCAGTATTGTCTCTTCCACTCAGCTGGGAAATCACATTATGAAGCTCATCTTTGCCATCACCCGCCTCTTTACTAACATGCGCTCATCAACACCTCGGGGTCTCTTAGAAAGTATGGGTGGCTCACGGATGTAACATCAGTGTCCTTTTCTCTTCTTCTCACCCTCCCTGGTGTTAAATTTAGATGCTGAGTGAGTGAGTTCAACAGAGAAAAATATAACCTTAAAAACAGAGTTCAAAGAGGCGTTATACATTGTGTAACAATATAGAAGTGTATGGGCTTATAGTGGTTGTGTTGTCCTAATTGCCCACATTGTATTGTGTTTGTTGTTTTCACTGTATTGATTGAAAAGGTGAGGTTAACTCACGCATCCACCTACAGTACCTCCCGTCCATATTATGGAAAACAACATCAGCTCCTACTTGCAAATAGCTTCCTTTGACATTGATTGAAATTGTAGAGTTTGGCAGCCTCCCAATAAAAATGGGGCATGTGTTGGCTCCAACACAGTCGTATGTTTACAAAGGGTGATGGAGCCTTCGTAGTCCTGGCTCCTCCGCTCCGGAACAGCCTTCCACTGAGAATCAGATCAGCTGACTCTGTTGTTACTTTTAAAACTTGACTCAAAATGTGCAAATGTGTATCCATGTATGTGTGTATGAGTTTGTACAGGATGTGTATGAATATGCATATGTCTCGTTATTTATATTTCTTATTACATTGCTTATATTTTTGGAAATCACTTTTGCTTATGATACAAAACATCAGATTTAGCATCCATATTGTACACTGCAGGCAAGAAACATGAAACAGCAATACTCTGATTCCAGCTGAGTGCCTGAGCTGAATTACCCCTCCAGTAGTTGAAACCAAATTAATGAAGGGTCGAGATAAAGATTAATTCATTAAAATTAATCTGATTAAGATAATTATTGAAGAAAAAACAACGAAATCTAATTAGAGAAACAGTGATCGTTGAGTCACTGGAATCAAGAGGTTGTCTTTCTTCCTTTTCTTTGTTAGATAAAAATGAAACTAAATGTCATGTTAAAGAAGCTATATTTAACCTGGAGATTATATTTTTGTAAGCAATCAAAGATTGTTTACCAACCTGGCAAAAAGAGCTACTGCCCCTCTCAAAAGCTCGATGTTCACTGTGTATAAAGGCTGGGTCATACCGTAAAACTTCAATTAGTAGCCCAGGCTATTAATTGGTTAAATCACTGAACTCAACAGGCTTATTGTGTGTCAGACTGAAGCTCCCAGAACCTTCAGTCTGACACTGCCTCCATTGAAGGCGATTTACAAGGGGGAGGGAATTTGATTTTTTCCCTAACCAATCAGTAGAGATCAACGACTCACCCAGGATCTGACGTCATTAGTATCCATGCCTCAGGGGTGCCGAAAACAAGCGTGCATTGCCTGTTTAAAATGTCTCCGTCGTGCATGCCCAGCTGCATCGCTGTTAAATCCAGTTTAGCAGCTTCCTTAATTTGGTCCTCCATTAACGCGAGCAGTGGCGAAATACCTCGATAGCATCGTTAATGTGGTCTGTAGGATCTGTAGCGGTCGCCATTGTTGCTATCCTCACCAGTTACCCACCGGCGTACAGCTTGACTTCAGCGTGGCGCTGATTGGCTAATCGCTAGACCCCCGGCGCTCATTGGTCCGTCCATCGTTTGGACGAGATAAATCACAAATTCATTGAAGTATGCCAGACCAGAGATGCAAGCCTACTCAGTTGAGTGGGCGGGGTCTATGGTCTGGAACCAGGCTACAGGCTTATATCAGGGACAGGCGTCTTTGTGGGACAAGCCTTTAATTCCTTTTAGACAAATTGTTGCTCAGCAAAGACAGGAAATGCAATCAGAGATTCTTTTGATTGGTGGGCAGCTTCAGCAGAAGGGGGTCACCACTTGGTTTTTTTGTCATGCAGGTAAATCTGAATGACTTTTTTCTACAAAAGTTTATAGGCTACATTTATAATGGTATGCACGATCTTAACAGCAAACTAATGTTAGCCCAAGCGGGTAGTCAACAATCCAATTTTATATATCCAAAGAACTTGTATAAAAATGAACTTTTTGGCAGCCAGACCAGGCGTTTAATTGAGACACCTTATTTGTCAAAATGTGTAGCCACACCAGGCTAGTAAAAGGGACTGGGCATTTAGTTGGGACTAGGCTTTTAATTTAAGTTTTACGGTACATTGATATTATGTCGATATCCTGATACGAGAAATCGTCTTTGATTTGGATATCGTGAAAAGTGTCTTTTCCTGGTTTTAAAAGCTGCATTACAGTAACTTGATGTTATTTTCTGTATTGCCGTAGCTGTTCTATTATTTGCCTTCACTCATTTAGTCATTACATCCACATTACTGATGATTGATGTATCAAAAACCTCATTGTGTAAATATTTTGTGAAAGCACCAATAGTCAACTCTACATATTTTCACAATATCAATTGAGGTATTTGTTAAAAAATATCATATTCCGTTTTCTCCATGTCATCCAGCCCTACTGTGTTGGATAGGACAGGGTATTGTATAAAATAATAATGTATTAGAATACCAGTAACAATAGCAGTACAGCACCCTTAAAGTGATACCGATATCAGTAGAGTGCTTTATTTCATACCGTTTGCTACTCCTTCATTTAACACCCATCATGTGATTGGAAGCATTTAGTTGCGTGAAATGCAACCAGACACCACAGGTATTTTCTACAGCCATACTTTCGACCCTTTTGGTTGCATCTCAGCAAGTTGAACCACCATATCCAGAGTGTATGGGTTGTAGCTGCTGTGGTAGTGGGCCAATCACATATTGCATTCAATGAAAAAATGGTTGTGGTGATCGGCTGTGAGCAAAACCATACAGTTTTTTTCTAGATGTGGTAAAGGGATCAAATGCAAGTATTGTGTGTCTGCTTGTTATTGGGTGTTGGTCGATACCTTAAAGGTATTGAGCACCAATTCCCAGTTTTAGTTGTACGTATTTTCAGTAACTGCATATTTCATCAAAGTTAAATATAAACTGACCATCCCATGTTAAAATAAACACCTTATTATTTTGGTATATGGTATGCTCAGATAGTTCATAATCCTAACAGACTGACATACAGAATACCTTGAGGTACTTGTTAATCTCTCTGCGCACTACACTTGATGGAACTCCAAGTGGACAGGGTACATATACAAAACAACAGCGTAGGGTGGGTGTAATAGGGGCCAAAGAACAACCATTTGGCCCGGGGCATTCTAACAACTTAACTCCAGTCATGGCTAAGATGACATTTACAATAAGCCACTCAAAGTCTTGAGTAGTTGCCAGGAATAGAGCAAGCATATTAACGCCTTAAGTAAATGTCCCTCAATAACACCATAAATTGTGGCGTGCTATATAGTCGATCACAATGTAGACTTGCTCCTTTTCATTCACCAACTGCTACCATCTGAAATCTTCACAGTTGGAGTATTTGATTGAATAGGGGAATTTCAGCAGGCTTTAAATGATTTATGTACATACTGTTTCTCATATTTGAAACTCTTCATCAGCTTTTTGTACAGTATATGCATGCATGTGGTGTTGCTGGGTCTTTGCCAGCCATTTCTCTGGCATATTTCCCCGCATTTGGCACTTTGGGAGTGAGAATCCCACTAATTAGAAGGCCTTAATTACTGCCTTTCTCCCCCACTCTCTTCCCACTCTTTTCCCACTCCCCCTGTCTCTCCTCCTCTCCACTTTTGCCCGTTTTTCTTCACACATGCTCAGCTGTTTTTCTTACCCTCTCTTTTTCTCTCACAGTGTGCCTATGTTGTTTCTCTGTGTTTCTCTCTACCCATTTTCCTCACCTATTCTTTATCTCTTTCTCTCTGTGGGGTTCATGAGTGAGTTATCCTGCTGTAATTAATGTGGGAGAGGAGCGAGGATCAAGGAACCAGGAAACACATCGTTCCTCTGCACAGCAGCAGCGTGTGAAAGCACCTCCATTAATCAGGCCTCTGTAAATGTATGTGTATACATATGTGATAAACGAGAGTCTAAGGAAGAGAAGAAAAGGGCGGGGCGGGAAAAAGAAATTGCAAGGCGACAACAGCACTAACTGTATTTGTTTATCAAAGTGTTTTGTTGTCTTGCTTTCCCTTTCATCACTTCTCTCTCCTGACCTCCAGCTGTCTTTCTCCTTCCACAGTTTGGCAGAACGGAGGTGATAGACAACACCCTAAATCCAGACTTTGTTCGAAAGTACATCTTGGACTACTTTTTTGAGGAGAAGCAGAACCTTCGCTTCGACTTGTGAGTGATTTCCTTTGAAGTCGTATCAGCATTGTATCTTCTCTCCTGCCCTCTGTCCTCCTTTGCTGTGATGTATTTTTCTCTTCCTCCGCTCTGTGCCTGTTGAAATCCCTGCAAATACAGTCGTGAGAACTGACTGTTTGGTAAACCCTGCCCCCAAACAGCAATTGCCCAATCATAGATTAGCAACCGTAACTAGGCACTGAAGAACTGTCGAGCTTTGGATTTCTCCACATGCCTGTAATGGTGTGCATGGGGCTCTATTAAGAGCAATATATCAAGAGGTTGGAGGATGAGTTCTCTCTCAAAACCAAAAACACAAGTGCAAAAGTGTATGGAATGGATTATTGTCTGCTCTAAAGTACGCTACAAGCATTAGCATGCCTGGCTAACTAGCTTAATATCTACACCTACAGAAGTAAGTTGTTATTTCCAAAAGGCGAAGGGGCATGTCATCAGCCAAGAATACAGTTTTTTGGGATCACACGATTCGTTGTGGTGCTATATCAGAAGTTAAAGCAACAATTGTGGCTGGTTTCTGCTCTTCACTCTGTTTGGGGGAGTTTCCACTTATGCAACTTGTCGCAAAATTTTTGTTAGAGTTACATTGAACAAACTCACCAGTTATTCTATCTCATGAAATCCTTTTTTATTGCAAAATGAAGCATACAATACAAATATGAAAGCGTAACTCTAACCTCTGTGTTGCCTGTCCAAGCATATTTTTCTATGATACGAATCCAACAAAGGTTATGTTAGATGATCAGCATTTTAATTACAGTCTTTGGTAATAATATTGCACTGTAATACTGAGAGAAACTAGCTCTACCCTGCAAAAGATGAGCAATACTGCCACTTAATTTTATGTCTTCCACATGGATTATTAACAGGTGTTTATGACTCATTGCCTGGGACCTGTATTTTATCCTCTTATAGCACATAGATGTATGTAGCCATCAAGTGCATAGTTGCAGTTACAATTTACATCCATGTCTGTCCAGACTCATGCGAACACATGAGAGTTGACAATATGAATGTTGCTTCACAAACATCTTCAACGAGACGACACAGAAATTCTATACAATCACCACGGCTTTAAGGTGGGCACCTAAGATGTTTTTTTTTTTTTTTTTTTTTTTTTTAAGGTTACAATGACCTTCATCGTTGATCACCTAAAATCTAATCAGGTCATCACTGAGTCCAAGTGGACGTTTGTGCCAAATTTAAAGAAATTTCCTTAAGTCGTTCTTGAGATATGGCTTTCACGAACAAAACATAATCCTTTAGCAAAGGATTTACAGAATTTCATGTTAGAAATCTGCCAAAGTTATTGCTGTGAACTGTATATATACTGTGTGAAAACTGAAAGCTTGACAGGCTTGACAGTAGCCTAATGAAGGAGGGGGAGGGGGCGGTCAAGGAAACAAGACATTTGACCTTGTGATGCATCTTGTGACATATGTGTGATTTTCATGTTCGTTACAACCATTCAGTTTTGTCTTTTTCTCTGTCTCTCATTAAATGTCTTTCTGACACAAGAGTGGTCATTATCCTTGCATATATAGTGTGACAATGGGTAGCTTTAACAGTTAACTGTAAGCTTTTTATAGGATTGACACACAAGGAATGCTTCCTCAGCACTTGCTGTGGTTTTACATGGATACAAAAAATTAACAGAATGAAAGCCCATCTTAGCGCAGCCCATCTATATGTCCTAGCTATACCACCACACAACATAAACATAGATGCATATTGGCAACTCTGCAGTATATCATTTGATTTTTTATTTCAATTAATGCTAATAGAAACTCATAAGCACTGTAGCGAGTGCAACCTGAATAATCTCCACGCAAACAGGATCTATCGTTTCATCTGATGTTTCATTTTGGAACATCACATATGCTCTACTTCCTTCACTTTCATAGCTTTATATTCAGATGCAAATCAGCCCAGGTCCACCACTCATTATTATGGAAGATGCAAAAAGGTCTTGTTGAACCCTTCTCCAATTACTCTGCTCCACATATAGTAACATCTGAAAAGACACTAAGATCCCATCCTCTTTTTATCTTGGCTAAATTTGAATTGTAGTGTGTGATGTGTAATGTGATGATCTTTGTCTTTTTTGATCTCCCATGAGTCCACCCACCTCTTTACATACTGTGGTTTTCAATTTGGTAAATTAAAATGTTATCTTATTTTCTTTCATCCTGTTCTGCTTCTTTCCTCTGTTCTTTTAATTCATACCCTTCCTCAAATACAATCATACTGTACCCTTTCTCCTCCCTGAGACGTTGTGCCCTTAAACCTACAAATAAACAAAAAGAACATCTGAGAAGCCATGATGAGATTAGCGCTGCGAGAGCATTTCTTTTCTGCTCCCAGTGATGACAGATCACCAGGGCTCGCTTTAAATCTTGCCTTTAAGAGCGTATCATTCAAAATGTCTCCACTTAGATAAAAGTCCCCTCTGTAGTTTTTTAAGTAAATTGGCTTTGCTGTTTTTTTTTTTCCTCTCAGGTATGATGTCGACTCTAAGAGCCCAGACCTGTCCAAACATGTGAGTGCACATATTTTAACCTTGAACCACAGATAAATGGAGGCCAGTCTTGAGTAAAATCTGAATTATTGGCTTGAATGACTTGAAAGTCAATATTGTCTGATGGAATATGGTGTTCAAAGTGATCTGCGTTTGGCCAAGCTCTTTTTTATCTGTGGTCTAATTTTTCGTTTTGCTTTAATTGGGTGTTGCCTGCTGCATGGTTCCTTCTTGATGAAATAAAGCAAACCCTTTTTTATTGCCTGATCTTGGAAGTATCCAAATACGCGTTCGTTTTTCTCCTTATTCACTCTTTGTTTTCAGACTTTCACCGAGGTTATCCGTGCAGTAATTGTGTTATAAATATGCTAATTCTCTTTCTATACAGGCTTTTATCCTCTTATTTCTGATTTTGTTCTAATGGTACTGCAGTGATAGGCATTGTGGATTAAACCTACTATTCTGTCATGTAGAAAAACTTAGATTATGCAATGCTTTTAACCATTAGTTTCCATTTCAAGTAATGTATTATTTCATATGATAATTTTAGATTCAGGAGAAAAAGATTAGTGGAAACTATGGTGACAGAAAGCATTGACAAGAGTTCAAAATAATCAGTATTGATGATTATTTGACGTATTTGGATGACCGGGATTTGCATTTTTTCATCACAAGCTTTGGTTCCTCTTGTCTGCTTTGGATTTTAGTTCTGACACAGCATGTTGTCTCTACAATCTCACTTTCACCATCTTGAGCAGTGCTAGGAGTGCTAGGTATTTGGTAGAGTATTGTGTCCTGGTATATGATGTGCTCTGTTGTTGTTGTTGTTGTTGTTGTCATTGCTGTTGATGTTGCTGCTGCTGCTCAACTTTTCTGGAAGCCCGCAGAACTCAACGTAGGTCCCAGCATCTCTCTCACTTCTGACACTGCATGGCTGCTGCCTCACATTAATGATCCTTTTCTCGGGAAGAAGGATGACGTCACTGATCAGAACAAAAAGCTGAGAGCCAACCCATCTGTGCAGCTCTTAACCATCACTGCGGTCACGTAGGGCTCCACAGCGGCCACACTATGAAAATAAATACTCGGTCATTTTGTCTTTCAGAAGCTTTTGCAGCATGTTTTTGTAACATGATGAAGATGGTGAGATATTCCAGGCTCCTCCTTGGAACAGTGACTGGAATCAGTGGGCATCCCAGACCATCAAAATGAAACACACTATAGCCTGGTGTTGAATTATTTAGTGTGCGCCTGTCTGCCAAAGCCAAACTTAAGGAGTCTTTGGTTAGATTGTCCCACATCCTTGCTGTGATCAGCTCAAAAAAAAACTTTGTTGAAACCAAACACACAGCACTGGTCTAATTTAAAGACCTGCTCCCGAACCAGCACTGTGATGTGCAATACCGCACCGTCTACATCCGTCAACACAAGATCTCCTGCCTGACCCAAACCTGCAGATCCTAAAATAACCATGCACTGTTCACATAATTTGGTTAAGCAGCATGTTCAAAGTCATCATTTTGGGACATTTCATACATGTAAAACTAAGATAATTTATTTTAAAATGAAGGTAATTCAGAGAATACAATTTGAATGAATATATTTTAGGTTATTCTTTTAATATTGAGCAGCATATCTCCACAGTTAGCATGCCTGTTAGTAACGCGCCTGATTGAAGAGGCTCTCATATTCCAGCTGGCTCAGAAGACAGAGCCGACACACGTAGTCAACAGTCAGAGGATTAAAATGTCAAAACATTAAATTTAATTATAATTTGAATCTAAATTTAATATATTTGTTATCCAACTCCTGCGGTCCGACCTGCATGCTCCTTGTTTCACTCAGAAACAAGCCTGAAAATAAAATTAAGACAAAATACCATCCGTGAATCACCTTTTTTGCGGGTCATCCGCCAGGTGCCCATGGGTACCCAACCTTATGTAGGACACACAGTATGATTTTTTTGTCTTTTTGAGAGGGTGATACTGAGACTTTGTCTGGTTAAAGACATGATTATAAAACTATGTCACTCTGTCTCTACATCAGTGTCCCACACTGTTGTGACTCATGTTTCTTGTCATAGTTCATGGTGCTGTGAATCCCTCCATCTTCTCCCATTTGTCTGTTATCCTTCACAATTCATTGAACCAGTGGTTCCTAACAGGTGGGTTAGAGTCCACAAGGGGCTTCTGTTCTGGGTGGGTCACAATTAATACTGGTCAACTCCGTCAATTAAACAAAACCCACTTTACTTTGGAATTTTACTTGCATTTTTGAAGTACTACTACCTGCTTCCTTGTGAGTAAAGGCACTACAGCATGCAATTTCACAGTAAAAGTAGCCTATGGATGCTGGCGTTGTGCCTAAATTAGTTGTAACTGCTACTGCAATGCCTTTATTTATTTTAAATGTTTGTTTTTATTACACTCTCTGACTCTCTCTGAGCCTTAAGTCCCAGTTGTAATGAGGTTATTTTAATTTATGAAGTAAAATGTAAGGCTAGCAGAGTTGTTAGCTCTGTCTCCTCACAGCAAAAATCTCCTGGGTTTGAATCCATGCACAGGTGGAATGGATGGATGAAGATATGCTAAATGGGTGTTAAGTTGGTCTTTCATACCTGTGACCAGATGTCTAAAGGCAAATGTAGACCCTCAGGCCAGACCAGTTGGGAACCACTGCATTAAACCATGCTTACCATGCATATATAGCCTCCATGGTTGAGGCAGCATTTGATTTCACCTCAACAAACTTTATATTTGACAACCAAACTGGATATTATGTGTTATTGAGCACAGCAATTACGATAATCGCATCTTTGAGCATAAAATAAATAACATGTGTTCACGTGACATCAATACATTCATTGACTTATGACTTAGGATGTTCTCCAACAAAACCACAGTTTCTTCTGGTTAAACATATGGATGCACGGGCCAGATTTGAATTCTGACCAAATTTGAAGGAGCATGAATGAACAAGCTTCTCTGGCAGAAAAAAAAAATCTTGTATTCTCATTTGCATGGTTTCCAGTGGTAGCAAAATATTTTTTAGATAACAAGTCTGACTATACTCTGATTTCTTGTCTTTCCACTTCACATATGCCAACCTGCTCCCCCCTCCTTCCTCCCTTTCCTCCTTCTTTCTTTCCTTCCTTCCCTCTAGGACTTTTTGGGTCAGATGTTCTGTACTCTTGGGGAGATTGTTGGATCACCAGCCAGTCGACTGGAGAAACCACTGGGGTGAGTAAAAGCTTCAAGCAATTTTCTTGCTGCCTAAATACCCCTGACTCCAAATGTGATGGAGGAACACCATACTGTGCTAAGAGGGGAGTTAAGACAGAAGAAAAATGCTTTGAACCCAAATACAATGACCCTTCTCAAGTTTACGGTTTATAAACTTAGTTTCATTTGTACTGAGAGGAAGTGTGTTAGAGGCACAGAGACAGTGTGCGTAAAATGTCAGCATGACAAGGAGGAGGAGGAATAATAGGAAACACATTGGTGATTTAGCAAGACATTGATCAGACAAAGAAGGAGAGGAAGGGAGGAGGAGACAACACATCCTACAGATGTTTTCCTCAGATAATTATTGTCATTAAAGGAAAGGGTGAAGCGCGGAGCAAAATTACCCAAATTACAGTTCGTCTCTTCGGCTTGTGCTTTTACGCAGGCTGAGAAAAATGTGGTGTTAATGGGAGTATCCTGTTATCCATCTTTATACTTCTATCATCCATCATCATTGTCATCAGTGTGCCCGGCTCTTGTGTAACTCAGGTGAAGTCATTTAAATGTCCCATTCAGTGAGATATGCTGGTTCTCAGATCTGGATACTTTGGAGCACATTAAGAGGAGATATTATTACTTTGAACTGTATAACATCTTATTGCCATGTACTACTCTTGAACGTATGACACTCATCTAAAGTTACAAACCTGTTTACTAAGCTGATTTTGGAGCAAAGAGTACAATCCCTCTGTAACAGATTTACTCGCTGATCTATTCATGATTTGTCAAATTGTATATTAAGTACTTCAAATGTCTAACATACTGTAGTACTGACAGTTCAGAGAGCACGTTCACTCAAATATATATATTTATATTAGCACTGCATATGAGAAAGGACACAGAGAGGCAATATTAGGCTTGGACACAAATTCATTTGTCTGGCTAAAAGAAATGGTTTCTGGGTGACTGCTGCAGGTCACAGAGGCTGGCAGAGGAGCGAGAATGCACCACTTAATGCATCTCTAAAATCTCAACTACACCATCTGCACTCCTGTGTGAAAACATTGTATCTCCAAAACATAATCAACTGCATGAGCTCAGGAAAACAGTCTTGTTTTCACCTTCGTGACAAGGCAGTTTTCGCTATTCCAAAAGGGTTTTTAAATTGTTTATGCGGCTTAGAAGTTGGAGAATTTTCTCAGTACATTAAGAGACATTTAAGTCTTCGCTTTTTCCTGAAAAATTCAAAATTACCCAATTTGAAGATACATAATTTTCTCTGGACAAAATGTTGATTACTGAAAAAAATCTTGCAATCGGAATGGGCCATGTTTTTAATAATGTAAACAAGGACTGAATGATAACTACAGTACCAGCAGTTACAGTGGGGCTGGTATTCACCTTTTGAGTGTGTGTGTGTGTGTGTGTGTGTGTGTGTGTGTGTGTGTGTGTGTTCCTGGAGACACCTATTGTAGCAAAACAATCACAGAAGCTGTTTTGTCTTGTCACTGTGATACCTTCAGAACTGTGGAAGATGCAGCCACAAAGCTTTACAAAGGACTGAGTTCAAAGGTGGGTGTGGTCCAAGCAAATGCGCTGGAAGTGGGGTGGCAGGACATAGAGAAGGGGCCAAGGGGCCAAGGCCCCCCCCACATTAGCTTTAAGTCAGGAGTCGCATCTGTAGTAATCACATTGAAAGATGCTCCCCAGTTTATGCATCTACTGATTCTTGCTTATTTTATTAACTCCACTAAGGAGGTGATGTTTGTGGTTTGGTTCGTGTCTTGGCTTGTATTTCTTCTTTTCTCGCAGGATTACGGAACAATAGTCTAGTAGGAAGGGGGGGTCCCCATGGTCACGGTGGATTTCTAAATGAAACCTATATTTTTGGAATCATGAAGGTCTGTAGATAATGAATTTTGATGTTCCCATCGCGAAAAAAGGGTAGTCCTCGGAATTCCGGCGGAATTTCGAATTCCATCAATCGGAATATATGGAAAAAATTAAAAATTAAATGTATCCACAACTTTTGAACCATATATTGTACAGAGACAAATAAACCATCTTTTTGCATAAATTAAGCATGAGAAATCAATTAAAATGGTTATTTTAATGATTTAAAATGTATGTCTATGCATAATTGGCTTTTCTTTGCAAAATTTAGCAGAAAAAATATGAAAAAAGCTATGACCTATAGGAAATCTTCCCTATTTGTCTTTATTTGTTGAGAAACATCAGTTTTTTAATAGCTATAGAAAACTGCCCAGCACTCTAAGCTTTCATTTGATTGGTTACATGTTGCTGTTACTAAAAAAATAAAGTCTGGGAGACTGTTAGAGCTATGTCTACTCCCAAATTTGTGATAGACAGGTCAAAATGAGGGATAACCATAACTCTTGAATCATACATCATACATATATAAATGAACCAATTTTTTAATGTAATTTTTTATTTTACAAATTGATTATGGTGTTCTCTTGATGACTGAAGTAGTTTTTATGTATTTAGTCCAAATAGTATTTCTGTGGGCTGAAATATGTGCCACCAGAAACTGAATTTGAATCATTTATATTTGAAATTGAATCATTTATATTTGAAATTGAATCATTTATATTTGAATTTGAATTTCTAAACTTGAATAATTGCATTGAACAACTGAATATGAATCACATAATTTGAAATTGTATTGTTAATTTGAATCATTGCATTGAAAAACTGAATCTGAACAGTACAATTTGAAATTGAATTTATTTCTATATCTTTACATTCAGTTCTCACAATTCAAATTCAGTTCTCAAAATTCACTTTCAATTTACTGTGACAGATATCCGGGTAATTTAAGGATGAAGGAAGAGCAATCGAGCACAGATACACAGGACTCCTCTTCGGCCAATCTGCACCTATGATTTTGAGCGCGTAGGAAGAAGCGCTCGCCTTGATCCATAGACCACAGACAATAGGCTTGTTCGAGAAGAACTGTGCCTCGCCTGAAAAGTAGACGAGAGCAGGCGGCCGCAGCGGGGGGTGGTGACAAAAAGCTGCGGTGAAATCGGACAGTTTCCCAACAGTTTCCAGCAGCCTTCAGTCCGTACAGGAAGTCACAGACACACATCAAAAATCCTGTCTGGAATGATGTCAGTTCATTAAAAAAGTGATCAGACCCATATATCAGTTTGTTTTCAGTCTCCAGTTGTTTTAATTATGATAGATTAATTTATTAAAATGCTTTACAGGTGATCTGTAGTTTATCTCGTCTCATCTCATCTCGTCGTCCTCTGCTTATCGGGGTCCGGGTCGCGGGGGCAGCAGCCTCAGCAAAGAGGCCCAGACAGTCCTCTCCCCAGCCACTTCCGTCAGCTCTTCCGCAGGAACCCCGAGGCGTTCCCAGGCCAGCCGGGTGATGTAGTCCCTCCAGCGTGTCCTGGGGCGGCCCTGAGGTCTCCTCCCGGTTGGACATGCCCGAAACCCCTCCCAAGGGAGGCGTCCAGAAGGCATCCTTACCAGATGCCCGTACCACCTCAACTGGCTCCTCTCGATGTGGAGGAGCAGCGGCTCTACTCCGAGTCCCTCCCGGATGTCTGAGCTTTTCACCCTATCCCTAAGGCTGAGCCCAGCCACCCTGCGGAGGAAACTCATTTCGGCCGCTTGTACTCGCGATCTCGTTCTTTCGGTCACTATCAGAGCTTGTGACCATAGGTGAGGGTTGGAACGTAGATCGACTGGGAAATCGAGAGCTTCACTTTTTGGCTAAGCTCCCTTTTCACCACAAAGGACCGGTTAAGCGCCTGCATCACTGCTGACGTTGCCCCAATCCGCCTGTCAATCTCCCGCTCCATCCTACCCTCACTCGTGAACAAGATCCTGAGATACTTAAACTCCTCCACCTGAGGCAGGACCTCCCCCCCGACCTGGAGTGGGCAATCCACCCTTTTCCGGCTGAGGACCATGGCCTCAGACTTGGAGGTGCTGATTCTCATCCCAGCCGCTTCACACTCGGCTGTGAACGTCCCAGCAAGAGCCGGAGGTCACTGTTCGATGGAGCTAGGAGGACCACGTCATCTGCAAAAAGCAGGGACGAGATCCTCCCGTCACCGAACATGCTCCTTCGGTACAGGGACTGGATGGCCCTTAGCAAGGGGCCACCAACCCCATACTCCCGGAGTACCCCCCACAGGATGCCCCTGGGGACACGGTCGTAAGCCTTCTCCAAATCCACAAAACACATGTGGACTGGTTGGGCGAACTCCCATGCCCCCTCCAGCACCCTGGCGAGGGTAAAGAGCTGGTCCACGGTTCCGCGTCCAGGACGAAAACCACATTGCTCCTCCTCAATCTGAGGTTCAAGTATCGACCAGACCCTCTTCTCCAGCACCCTGGAGTAGACCTTACCAGGTAGACTGAGGAGTGTGATCCCCCTGTAGTTGGAACACACCCTCTGGTCCCCTTTCTTGAAAATGGGGACCACCACCCCGGTCTGCCACTCCAGAGGCACTGCTCCCGATGTCCACGCAGTGTTGCAGAAGCCTGTCAGCCAGGACAGCCCTACAACATCCAGAGCCTTGAGATATCCAGGGCGAATCTCATCCACCCCCGGGGCTCCGCCACCTCGGAGTTGCTTCACTACCTCAGCGACTTCTGCCCCAGAATTTGGACGACCCGCCCCCGAGACCCCCGTCTCTGTTTTCTCACTGGAATACATGTTGGTGGGATTGAGGAGCTCCTCAAAGTATTCCTTCCACCGCCCGACAATGTCCCCAGTTGACATCAGCAGCTCCCCGCCCCCACTGTAAACAGTGTGAGCAAGTTGCTGCCTTCCCCCCCTGAGGCGCCGGACGGTTTCCCAGAACCTCTTTGGAGCCGATCAATAGTCTACGTCCTCCAATGCCCGAGTTTTTGCCTCCACGACTGCTGCTGCTGCGCTCCGCTTGGCCCGCCGGTACCCATCAGCTGCTTCCGGAGACCCACAGACCAACCATGCCCTGTAGGCCTCCTTCTTCAGCCTGACAGCTCCCCTC